GTAAAAACTTAGGGGACAAAAATCTTTTGTTTCCTCTCATAAGCATGTTGTTGTCAAGTACTGTCAAGCAAGTTCTGAATCATAGCAACCCTGTAGAGGGGTTCTGAGGAGTACCTGATAGGTTTGAATTGCCGACCGGGTGGTTAATTGGCAGTCCGGTGTTAAACAAGAAATGGCATTAAAAGATAATGGAGTTTTTCGAAGAACTTTTTGAAATCCCTTCATACTTCACGAGGACCAAAATATGACCTTGAACATATTCCACGTGAAATTTAGAGATCATCTCAGGAATAGATTTAATGCCTTAAACACTAATCCTTGAGGACCAGAAGAGTTGTGAGATGGCATCATTAACATTATACAGGAAGAAAGCAAAAGGTCATAAAGAAGGCAAGAATGAAAGAAAAGACCAAAATGGACATCAAAAGAGACTCTGAAACTTACTCTCCTGGTTCGAGAGCTAAAGCAAATGGAAGAAATAAGAAGGTAAATGAGTTGAACAGAAAAGGAGGAAGACCCCTAATGAGATGGACTGGCACAGTGGCAGCAGTAATGGGCTCAAGTTTAACAATGATTGTGAGGATGTCACAGGACCAGAAAATACTTCATTATGTTGTGCATAAGGTTGCTGAGTTGGAATCGACTCAATGGTATCTAACAACAACAACAACAACAACATATTTTATAGTTCATTAAATTAGGGAAGAAAGTACAACACAATTAAGTACAACTTCAGACTAATAAATATTTATAGGAATTCCATATTAAGATATATGGTCACAAAATCCGCTTTTGTGACCCTCAGCCTTATATGAAGGGATTACATAAAATTCATGGGAAAATTTCACTAACGTTTAATTCCAGTTTTCCATGAACTTTTTAAATCCTTTTGTACTGTGACGTGATACTCCAAAAGTTTATTTTTCCCCCTACACTTTATGTTGACATTACTATTACTACAATTAAATAGTATAATACAATAAAAGTTACTATATTCAATGATTGTAGCCTTTGTTACCACTAATTTCTCTTCAAACTCACTAGTGTTTGACAGTTATTCTATTCTATTTCTGATTTCTTTTCATTGTCCTTCTTAAAGACTTTTTTTTTTTTAAGCAAACTTAATTTGAAATAAAAGCTTTTCCAAGTAATTGAATGCCTGTGTGCTATGAGAAAATGAGATTTTTATTTAGAAGTCACGCATGCCTGACTTTTGGGACTAGCCATAATAATTTAAACAAATAAAGCATTTATATATGACTCTCACCTCATGTGCTGTTAGAATGAAACATAATCCCTAACTCATGACAGTTTTCAGTTTGACACTCAAAACTGTTGGAAGGGCTCATGCTTCAGCATCTCTAGAAATGACTGAACATAAATTAAATGCTTATCAACAGCATCTTATTGAGAGACTAATAAAGTCTTTGAGTTTGAATGTTTATTAAACTAATCAACACCACGATTATTTCTATAGAAGGAGGAAAGTGGTTTCTTCTTTGAAGCAGTTTACAATTAGAGAAAATTCATATATAAGATAATGAGGGAACCAGGAAAGATCATAACCAAGTGCTATGAATCATAGGAAAATACTTATAGCAGTCATATATAAAATGCCCACTCTCTGGAAGCTACAATTAGGTCTATACCAATATCGTCTAGCTTTATTAAGTCTGAGAAAATGTTGATCTCATCCCAACCTCCTATGAGGAGGTTGAGGCTCAGGATTTAAGGCTGCTATAAGTGCAAATAAGGTCAAAAGGATTAGAATACTATAAGTTGAAATAATTGGAGACAGTTTTATGAAGAGCTTGAAACTAGAGAAGAACTTTAAAGGATGGAGAAGGAGATATCATTCAGAGGTATCAGATGGAGAGAAGTTTAGTAGAAAATAAATTACAGCAAATGAGAAAAAACTTGGAGACATGTATGCCTGGCATCATGGTAACACCTCGGCAGAACAATTCACTTAGAAATATAAACCAAAAATATAGAAGACCTAGAAAGACAAGGTTCTGGAATAAAGATAAATATGAAAAGCTACAGAGGCTCTTGTGGAGAAAATGACAATAAAAATGTACTTGAAAGATTAGTGAGTGAGAAGGGGACTATTGTAATTGCTGTAGGATAAACACTGTATTGCTAACCACAAGGTCGGTGGTTCAAACCCATTAGCCACTCCTTGGAAGCCCTATACAGGGTCACTGTGAGTAAGAACAAGAACCACAGCAGGACATTAGAATGGGAAAAGGCTGTAACTACAAGGAAAGCTCAGAAACTGTTAGAGCAACATAAAACAATGAAGAATTGAAGAGTGATAATGGAGGAAAAAGACTAATATTCCTGAAGTAGAAAGAGCAGGAGTTAGGAACGACTTCAATATAGAAAGGCAGGAGGAGAAATGACTAGGTGACTTGCTGACAATGCTGGGATTTTCTTTCCTGGTAGACTAGGAAGAGTTGAAAGAAACAGATATAGTGCTTCCAGTTCAGCACTGAATATGACAATAATATAAAATTAAATTTGTATCATGTAAAAAATACAAGTAAATATAATTGTTGAAGGTATTGGAGAGCAGCCAAAGTAGACAGGACTCTAGGAGCTACAAAAGAGGACAATGTAAAGTGAGCGAGAACATTTTTCTTCTATAGTATTATGTATGGTTGGGAGAAAGAGAAGACTCTCTGCTCCCCCAGAGATTCTAGCCTTGAGAACCCTATACAGAGTTGCAATAAGTTGGGACAGACTCGACAGCATTTAACAAGAATAACAACAATATACATGATGCTGAGTAGTTAATAAACACTTAAAAATGCTTTGTTAGTTCTTTAAATTAAATTAATACTGAGAGAGATCTTATTTGTATTTTAATCCATCACCAAAATTATATACTAAGCTACATAAAGAAGGAAAAAGTAAAACATCTACTTTTCTCTGGAATAAGGAAGTTTATTCATTTAATGGACTTCCCAAGCTCTTTGCTACTTATTCAGATGCCTGGCATGTGAATTTAGGTCAAATATATGATACAGTACCATTAACAGTGTATGTGCTATTGTTGTTGTTAAGTGCCATCGAGTCAGTTCCGACCCATAGTGACTCTGTATAGGGTTTCCAAGGAGCGACTGGTTATGTGCTATAGGAACACTTTACTGTATACAGAGGACTCCCTGAATAATTTGTGTAAAAGCAAATCTATATCCATGCTCTGGGATTTAAGGCATTTTATTATTTGAAATTATTTTAGAGTTTTATTGTAACTGAGCATTTGCTCTTTTGATGAATTGCTGGTGACAAACATGGTTTATTTGATAAGTCCTTGTTTATTAAGGTAATATCCAATTATGACATTGTTCCTAGGGGAAAAATGATCTACTTCATGACTGTTTACTTAATGATGCTCTTTCTCAGCACTGGAGAAAAGCAAGAGAAGTTCTATTTTGTGCTGAACTATGAAAAACGTTTCAGAATGCCATTTAAATATATTTAAATAAACATTTTATATAAATAATCTGATGGAATGCCCCAAACAACAAGTTCTCAGTTCAACAGTATAATATAGCTGGAACTAAGAAATATTTAGGAGCTCTGGTAGCATAGTGGGTTACAAGCTGGGCTGTTAACCGCAAGGTCAGCAGTTCGAATCTACCACAGGAGAAAGATGAGGCTTTCTGCTCCCATAAAGATTTACAGCCTCGGAAACCCTATGCAGGGTCGCTATAAGTCAGAACCGACTCCACGGCACACAATCACCACCACCACCAAGAAGTATTTAGAGAAATAATAGGACTATTATCTTTAAGAGTCATTGATGACTAATAAAGAATTGTAACAACCGTCTACATCTTTCTTCACTTTACCTTTTTTCAATTAGTGCTTAAGAATACAGAAACATAAATACACATAAAATTCTACACATCAAGTAGTTTTGTCTTCTATTTTCATTATAAATATGTCAAATTAAAAAAAAATCAAAAGCTTGCTTCTTTGAAAGAGCATATTTCACATAAACATATCATTTAAAAGTACTCACGATCTTCATCCGTCTGTACTATGAGTTCTTGACTTTCCTTCCGTCCCTCAGGATTCATGAGAATGAGTTTCACACTGACGTTGGTATACGGAGACAGATTAGTGATGGTGTGTTGAGGGTGTGAGTTGTCTGGATCCCAGCTTACTTCATCTCGAACCTGCTCCTGTCCTCCCACTTGGTAGCAGTAGTGGACTGTAAGATTGTAACTATGACAACGAGTTACATTGTATCCAAATGGCTCCCAGCGGATAGTGATTTGTCGAGATTTGACCTCTACTACTTCCAATTTTCTTGGGCCACGCATGGGATCTATTTAGAAAAGAAGAAAATAAGAGAAAAGAATTATAAAAGTGCCAATAAAGCCAAATGTCACAAACATTACTACTTTTCACCCAATATCTGGAATCTTCTTTATGAATAATAAAATCTTTACATTTTATCTGGGTAGATTCACCCAGAATTTAACCTAAATGCCCATCCTCTTCTACAATAAGGTGTTGCTATGTGGCTTGAATACAAGATATGATGCCAAGTTCAGTTTCTGGAGGGTGTTCTTAAGATAAAGAGGCACATTCCCTTCACTCCTTTCTTCTCCTTAGCTAGACTGAGGATATGATGGTTGGAGTTCATGGAGCCATGATGGCCCATAGGTATTAACGCACCAAGAATTCAAAGCAACAGTGAAGGAGGAGCCAGGGTCCCGAATACTGTAGTTCTATGAAAATAAAAAGACACCTTACACATTTGCTTGCCAAACACCTCCTCCCCTCAAGGAGGTATTTTTATAAGCTCCACTGTGGCAATTTTTTTTCACATGTTGCTATAAGAAAATGAACATGGCACATTTACAACCATATTCTTCTTTCGGTTATGTCCCAAGAACAGAATTTCAAACTTAGAAATTTAAACTATTCAAAGCAGATATAAACACTTTTAAATCATTTAAAAGAAATAATATACACTTGTTCAGAAAATGATAAAAATATAATAACACTAAATATATAACACTTATTGTGCATTTCCTATGTGTGGCACGGTAGGAGAAGCACTGGACTGGTAACCCCAAGATTAGCAGTTCAAATCCATCAGCTGTGCTCAGGAACTCTGAGGGTCACTATGAGTTGGTACCAACTCAACAGCACACTATAACAACCACAATAAGGCATTATTTTAGAATTATAGATTTCAGGAGTTTTAGAAGATATTTTTGTCTTATTTGTGTGAAGTGAAGCGATCTACAAATGGCAAGGGGAAAATAAAGCCCTAGGAGACTTGAGAATTTAATAATATCACATACTTACATCTACAACTGTAAGCATACTACAGTGCCAGGCAATGTTTCACCCCAGTATTCACAAGGTCACCATGATTTGGGGCTAAGCCAACAGGAACTAACAGCAAGAACAACTGTGTATTCCTGCTGTGGTGCTGTAAGATAAGCACTCGACTGCAAAGTTTGGTTTCAAACAACCTTTTTTTTATATTTTTGGTTTATAAGAAACTAAAGTGTTTATATCTGCTTTTTGTTTATATATGGTTGGTGGTTGAAATGCACCAGCTGCTCCTCGGACACCCTATACAGGGTCATTATGAGTGGAAACCAACTCAAGAGCATTTAGCAACAACAACAACAGTTGTGTGAGTATGTATGCTCATGCACCTATGTAGGTTGCTTCTTGTTTCTCTAGTCAATTCTAACTCGGGAGACCTCACATGTGCATGTAAAGCTGTTTCCCAGCATTTTCAAAGCTGTGACCTTTTAGAAACATAGTGCTACGACTGTTTTCTGAGGTTTCTGGGTGTGGAGTTCTATGTAGATAGATAGACAGACAGACAGATAGGGAGTGTTTTGGTATGGCACTGAAGTATAAGCAGTAGATCGCGAATCATAAGGCTGGTTCGATCTCACCAGCTGTTCCTTGGAAATCCTATACAGGGTTGTTATGAGTCAGAACTTGGGTCAAGGGCAGTCAACAACAACAACAGATAGATATAGATATAGCTTCTGCATGATGCTAGAAGGTTGGCAATTTGAAGCCACACCCAGAATCCTCAGGAAACAGTCATAGTGAACTGCTTCCAAAGGTCATAGCTTTGAAAATACCAGGAAAAAATGAAGAGAAAGAGAAAAAGAGAGAGAGAATCAATCCTAGTGTGGCACCTTAGGATAAACATTTGACCTCAAGGTCAGTTTGAACCAGAAGGTCGGTGGTATATATATATATAGTTGTTGGTAGGTACCATCGAGTTGGTACCGACTCATAGTGACCTTATTCACAGCAAACGAAACACTACCCAATCCTGAGT